CTGGGGAGGTCTGACAGAGGCGAGGCTGCCACTTGGCGCCGTCAGCCCCTCTGACCACCACTATCACAGGCAAGTTGGGTGAAGTGTCTTGCCCAAGGACACAACAGCAGGATCGAACCCATGACCAAATCATGAGGCAACCCGCTCTACCACCTGAGCTACTGCTTAGTTGGACCTCTTTTCTAACTTTGACTCTGGTTCTGAGATGGTTCTGTTTAAATGGAACATGGATCTGGAAAAACTAGCTTTTAATCTGTTTAGTGCAGATTGGTGCATGTTTCAGAGTTAGCATCAGCTATATATTTGTTAGATTGAATAAAATATTTTGGACTCATTTTAAAAAGAGCAGGAAATCAGAGTTATTCTAACAAAGCTGTTTTCTACTTCCTTGCATGAACTCACCTCCTGCCTTCGTGGTTCAGATTCATAATCCACCAGCTACAAGGCAGTGTTATGTTGGTTTCATCTCAGCTGCTCACGATTCTCAAGATTGGAGCAGAAACACCCGCACATGGCAGACAGAAAGCACGGCATGCATTAGCTAAACGTGTTCACGTGTACAGTAGATAATATCCAGATAAACAGCGAAATTAACCAAACTCCCACAGGAGCACAATGCTGCGTTCAGATGCGTGGTAATGTGCAGAACCTTTATTAGGTGAATTTGTTTAGACAGACACACAGCGAGCCATCTTCCAGCTCCGTGCTGGGGCCGTAATACTACGCAGTAAAAACCGTGAATGCACAGACTCTGGTTTCCTTCGGGTGCAGTAACACCGATCAGCTCTGAGTGTGCCATGCTTCATCCCACAACAAGGCCCCGGGACACGCAGGATAAAACCTTTATGAGAGTCGAGCTTCTGCACAAACATGCTTACACGGAGCCTTTACGGGCCCACAGGTACGGTGTCCTGCATGAGGACAGCTGCCACAGAAATCTCTTGCGTCTCCTAGTCTGACACGTGGAACAATTAGTGTGAAAAATCACCGGGTGGGTTCAGAGTTCCACGCTCCTGTCCGTCGCACCGTCCATCAACAGTTAAGATTCCTGTCATTTATTTAACCCTTCCACTGTCCTATCAGGTGACCCCTCCAGGACAGGGGGTGGTTAAACGTGGTTGATAGTTTATCTTTTAGCAAGGGTGAAGTGGTGCACTCCCCAAAATATTATAGAAGCACCTTGGGCCCATCTGACCCCATTAACAATGCAGGAGGGCTAAAGGAGTTTAAAAAATGATGATTTAAGGAGTAAATTCTACAAAGAAAAAAAAAACAGACATGAGAGACAAGAGAGAGAAGTGCAAATGAAAGCATTGTTTATGTAATCTGGACAGAACAGAGTCCTCTGTTTAGATGACTGATAAAACTATGGCACATACTGTAACAGCTCTTTAACGTCTGCAGGAGGAAAACCCACTGCCCCCCTGCAGTAATACTGGTGCATTTCTATGAGCGGTATGGGAAGAGTGTCAGCTAAACCTACAACCCTCCCACTGTCTTTATGGGTGACCCCGTGAGGAAAGTTGACCATTGGGCAGGATTGATGGTTTATCCTTTGAGGTCCACATGGCAGGGGTGAGGTGGTGCTCACTCCTCACCCCTGCCGCGTGGACCCAAGGGATAAACCATCAACCCTGCTCAATGGTCAACTTTCCTCACGGGGTCACACCCATTAGGACAGTGCATGGGAGGGTTAAAGTCTGACACTTGAACTCATCAGAAAATAATTTTTACAAAATAATTATCTTTTTATTGGCTAATGCCAATAGAACAATTGGCACTTATCTGCTGCAGTATTTAAAACTTCCACAAGGACGCAGATAACGAATGAAATTTAATTAAATAGATGTTTGAGGAACATACTGGATCATTCTGCTAAAGAAAAAGAGGAAAGATTTTAGGAATACGTGGAGCAAATCAGATGCATTAAAGGGGTTGAACGCTTTCAGTGGTTCGAGACAACACATTTAAACATGAAATTGTTTCCTTTGAGGCTCTTATTGTGAAAGGTCTGATAGTAACTACTGTTACGACCTCAACCTGGTCTAGGATCCTGGGAGGCCTGACACAGAAACATGAATACGAACAATAAACGTTCTGACACCAAGTCACAACCAAAGAAGTAATTTTATTAACAAAAAGCATCCCTAAGGGAGAAAACCTGGTTAATAAACAAAGTGAGTTTTAATCTAAGTAGCAGAAACAAAACTGAGGACTTTAGTAACTTAAAGAGCACTAGAATGAGAACTAACACTCTGGTTCCAAAAATGAAAACCAGGAACAACAAAGCTTACCCAGAGGCTTTACCCAAACAGTCCACTGGTGAACTAACTCACCCACACAACCAAAAGCTCAGTCAAGAGCAAGGGACAACCAAGTTTCAAAACCAGAAGGTTTTCCCAGACAGGTGGAAACTTAAACCATCCGGGGGCAACTATGAATTCTAAAGTTCTCCAACACAAGTCTCTCTTTCAATAATCCTCTCCTGTCCTCCTCTCCATTCAGTGCGGCGGTGATTTTATCTGCTCCAGCCGGGGGATTCCCTGATGCGAATCAGCTGCGCGAGTGTGGCTGGGCGCTCTCCAGGGTGCTGACCATGGTGCTGAAACGGAGCGGAGTAGAAGCCGGGCGCTGGGGAACTCAGGGCTCGTAACACTACACTACAGCCTCCAGTTTATGAAAAAATGCTAAACTGTGGGAAATGTTTCCAAACCAAACATTGAAACCAGGAAGCTTTTTATTGACTTGGTCGTCAGTGCTTTTATTTTGAAATATATGTTTTTCCTAGAAGGCTTTACAAATGCAGATGATTCTAAACTGAGTAAATTGGAAAACATGCACATGTATCTCAGAAAAGTGGTTTAACTGGCTCTGAAGTCTGACAGATGCCAGCCAATCAAACACCTTCTGTTGACTTTCCTCATGGTGCCGACTGCTCTGCAGCTTCAGCTGAACGTGCACATCAGCTCATCCATCTTTCACCTCACTGAATCCATTTTTCCTCTAAATGATTAAACTCTCCACACGCCCCTTTGGCCGCCGTCTCTTTTCCTGGCCTGTGCTTCCTGTTTCTCTCCCCCCCCCCCCCCCTTTATTAGTGTCGCTGTGTGACGGCCGACTGTTGCTGATTAGCAACCAGTGTCTTTGCTGTTTCTGTGTCCATGCAGTGTAGCAGATGGATCAGTTACAGTTTTATTAAACCACATGTTGGTGTTTTTTTATTTTGGGAATATTCTCACACGCGTCTGCGGATGGAGTGGGTGTCTGGATTCTGGATCTGTCTGCTTCCGCGGCGTGGTCACGGGCGCCGGGTGGCCTCTGTAGCTCAACTGTAAATGAGCTGATGGAGGGAGGAAGTGATGGAGTGCTTTCTCTCTCTCTTCCTGCAGAGTAACATCAGGAGGAGTTGTTGAATATTAATGATGCAAATGAAGAGAGAAGTCTGGGCTGAAGCTGTCAGAGAGGCACTTTGCTGCTTTTGAAGAGCACCAATAAAAGGCTGAGAGCTGTGTTTTTTGCCCTGCAGGATTTTCTCACAGCTGACCAGTTTTTAAAATGTTTGTTTTTATCTCTGAAGCGTCGTTTACATATTTATCAGTTGCTTTTCTTTTTTCTGTAAACTCAAGCTGAAAATTGCATGAGGATGGGAGCGTTTTGTCTCCTCCACATTTGGGAAACGGGAAAAGCTCTTTTCTAAGAAAGACTGAACCACTCAACTTTTAAAACACTATAATAGAGGAAACTTAAGTGCAGCTGAAGCTTTTGTGGACTGAATTGTACTCAGATGAGTATAATTCTGTTCTAGCCTGCATTTCTGCGTGTTTTCAGAGAAACTTTAATGTCTGCTCACAATCTGCCTCTGTAGGTTTGAGATGTGAGCGTGCTCCGACTGGCAGGTGATTCATTGGTCCTGCAGCCGTCATTCATATTCTAATGCCGCCTTGGGCAAAGTACAAAAGTTTGAGGGAAAAATCAGGACTTTTGTTTTCAGACCGCAGCAGGAGAGGGAACATTATTCTCAGCAAGCGTAATGTAGCTGTCAACTGGAAAAAAGCACCTGTCACAGCAAAATAAAAGAATCAAACCTCATCGTTAGCAGGACTGCTGTCGCTGCTCTGCTTCCAGAGGATCGGGGACTATTTGGCCACACATCCAGGCCTCCTGACCAGTTATCGATCCGCTTTTCAGCTGTTCTCAAGGTGACGCGACCCGATCTGGTGCAGAACTTCTCCAAGCACTAGAAGTTTATTGATCTACAGCAACGCTACTCTGAAATATCCTCTACATTAACAATATCCATGAGGAAAACCAAAAGTTGAACTATCATCAGCGTTGTGTAACGGCCGCTGTCCGACTCCTGACCAGCGGCCGGCGGGGAAACTGGAGCCATAATTACAGTCGTTCCTGCTGCTGAGCTCACGGGAAAGTAATTCCCCGTAACGGTTTCCATTTGCTGCTCTTTAACCGGGTTTGTTTCCGGAGATAACCAAACACACCAACAAGCTCGAGATGATCCTGTAAGTCAGCTCCGGTCACCATAGGTGCTGGCATCAACTGACCTTGTTTATCACGATAGTTCCCTGCCTCCTGTAAGGTTCTGTTACTACATCGTTGGGAGGCGCGGTCGGAACAACGCCGGGTCGCCTACAGAAACAGCGTTTTGGGAACGAGGCTCGGACTCTGGCAGAGCTGACATCAGCTTTAATAAAAGGATTGGTGTATGTTTTTAAGCTGGAGTTCCATAATGAAAAGGTGTGTGTCACTCTCAGGATCCCACAGGGAAACGAGGTGGGTTTCCACAATATTCATTCATTGTTTGAAGTGTTCCACCTTCCAGCACCGTTGATGGGGCCTAGATACAGTTTTCAGGTTGGGGCGGGGATGAGCTCAGCTGGAGGGCCATTCCAGTTATGAACTTATTTTTATTCAAATAGTATTTTCTCTCTCAGGGTAACACTCTACTGGGCAGACATTTAACTTGCTTTGAACTTGTTTTGCAGCTCCGCCCACTCCCATCGCACCACCTGAACTCCTTGCCGTTGGCGCCACCTACCTTTGGATCAAACCCAACGCCAACAGCATCATCGGTGACGGGCCCATCATCCTGAAAGAGGTGGAGTACCGCACCACCACGGGGAACTGGGCGGAGACTCACGTGGTGGACGCCTCCACCTACAAGCTTTGGCATCTAGACCCAGATGTGGAGTATGAGATCAAGGTCCTGCTCTCCAGACCGGGAGAAGGTGGGACCGGACCGCCAGGACCGCCGCTCATCACCAGGACCAAATGTGCAGGTGGGTGACCTTGGGCCACAGATCTCAGAAGCTGCTCGGTTTGTTTTGGTGCTGAAACTTCAGCAGGATAACAAACAACAGACCAAAGTGTGTGTTTGCTTTAGGATTTGCTGTGATTGGATGGTTTGATGGAGAAACTCAAAGGTGGAAAAGAGAGAAATATTCATATGTCCTCTGGGAGGCGGCAGCAAATCAGCGATGATGATAATTAGGATGTTAAGTTGCTGCAGGGACAGAGGAGGAGAAGTTGGAGGTTAGTTGGGGCAATCAGGGCCAATAATGAGTTTCCCAGTGGGGGTGTAAGGACACAAAAAGCCACATTTCGTTTGATTAAGTGACAGCCCATCAGCTCTCTGACAGTCTGACAGTGATTTTTGTCTGTGAAGGTTGGCGGGGAGCTACTTAACGCAGCGGTTGGCTGCCACCACCGCTCTGCTGCTAACAGACAATTCACCTTTCCATCTTCTCCCATTTTCACGCTCTTCCTTCCTTCTATCCATGTTCTCCTTCTAATCTCTTCACACCTTCGTTGTTGGCTCCAACTCCTGTTTTCACCTGATTTCTGATGTCTTCCTGTGTTTTCTATTTGTATTTGTTCTAGTTTCTTAAATTGTTTGTCTTGCTTCTTGTTCCTCAACTTCTGAGTTATTTTAAAAATTCTGCGTACAAACCTTCAGCTCCAGCTGTGACTGTTTCTTTTTACATTTTAGGACATTCAGCTGTTGGTGGACTACTTTGGTCCATTTGAAGTAACTGTAGAAACCTTCAAATGTTTCAGATATTAAGCTAATCTCTGTGCTCTTAAAAGGCTAATGGCTTGTATTTACGTCTACCTAGAGACATCATTCAAAGTTCACGAGAGTCATCAGTTTTGCCTTTTACTGTGATTTAGGTTTCGATGTGTTCCAGTTTTGAGCTATGATGTTAGATTTTAAGCATCCTGGTCTTTAGTTTTGTTGCTTCTTCAGATTTGAATTTGGCCAATCACTATGATTTATTTTCTCAGTTCATCAAACAGCACAGGTCTTCAGCAGCTTTCAGCATTTAACCTTTTGATGCATGAATTATGAAATGTTCAACCATGATTTTTTTTAACAATTTTTTCATTAATCTTTAGGTGTGAATGAAACAAATTTCAACACATATTTTTTGTAACATTTCATAATTTACAAATAATTTATTACATGTCCACCTCAGTCGACAGCGTCTGAACCTGAAATATGTTGGCTTGACTTGCTGAAGTCCAAATGGAGGGGCTCAAATGCAATAAAGTCTTCAACAGTTGTGCTTAATAGTAAGTTAGTAAAGTAAAACTTTATTTATATAGCACTTTTCACAGATAAAATCACAAAGTGCTTCACAACATACATAAAAATGCTAAACAGGACAGGAGCACAAGCAAAAAATAAAATAAAATAACAATTTTGAGTACCTGTCCACTGTAGTGACCATTATGCATCAAAGGGTTAAACACTTCATTTGACTCTTATTGTTCTTTGTTAAAAAAAATAGTGATTAAAAAGTGAAAATTTTGAGTTAAAAATGTGAATGAAGACAAAAATGAATAAGAAAATTTCATTGTGGGATCTTGAGAAAGACAGAATTGGTAGAAAAAGCAGCATGAACAGCAGGCCCCACCAAAGCCTGAACAGGTGAGTCTTCAGCTGCATTTTAAAGGAGAACACTGAGTCCTCTGATCTCAGGCTCAGCGGGAGAGAGTTCCAGAGTCTAGGGGCCACACATTCATACAAATACAGGCCATTTACTGTTTTACCTTCAACCACGAAAACAATGAATAAAGACAAAACGTGTGTTTCCAACACTATTATAAATAAGGGACACAGACATGTTCATCAGGTATTGCACATATGTTAAATTCATACTGATTATTACATTTGTATGATGGTGCTTGTCCATGTAAGGCCTTAAAGACCAGAACCAGGATCTTGAAATGAACCCTGACGTTAACTGGCAGCCAGTGAAGCTGGAGGAGAAGCGGGGTGATGTGGGTGTGTTTGGAGGACCTGGTAAGAAGCTGAGCACAGGCATTCTGAACCACCTGTAGACGTTCAGGGAGGTTCTGCTCAGACACGTGAAAAGAGAGTTACAGTAATCTAAGCGTGAGGAGATGAAGGTGTGGAGAACAGTCTCAAGTTCAGAGTGGGACAGAATGGGACTCAGCTTAGCAATGTTCCTGAGATAGAAGAGAGAAGAGCGAACAAGATAACAGACATGAAAATCCAGGGTGAGGGCTGGGTCAAAGGTCACGCCAAGATTCCTGGCAGATAGTTTGGTGTGAGAAGCACGCTGACCAAGAGAGTCTCTGACTTTGGGAACCAGCTATGGGGCACAGATGAGGATCTCAGTCTTATCTTCATTCAGCTGTAGAAAGCTCCCAGCCATCCAGGTTTTAATAGAGTCTAAGCAGGTGTGTAACAGCTGCAGCTTAGACATCGCATGGGGCTTAAAGAAGATGTAAAGTTGGATGTCATCTGCATAAAGATGGTAGGAGATTCCTTTGAAGGAGCTCAGGATGTGCTGAAGAGGAAGCAGATAGAGGAGGAAGAGCAGAGGCCCCAGCACAGAACCTTGTGGGACACCATGGGTGAGGGAGATGGTGGAGGACCTAAAATGGAGACAGCCACAGGGAAGGAGCGCTCAGAAAGATAAGAGGAGAACCACTCCAGAGCAGTTCCTGATAGGCCTACCCAGTCTCTCAGCCTCTCCAGTAGCAGGTGATGGTCAACAATATCAGAGGCTGCAGTCAGGTCCAGCAGGACCAGAACAGAACAGTCCTCTGCATCATGTGAGTCAGAAGGTCATTAGAGACCCTAAGAAGAGCTGTTTCAGTAGAATGAGCTCTACGAAAACCTGACTGGCAGCTATCATAGATGTCATGTTCTTCAAGAGCAGCTGTGAGTTGTTTAGCCACAACCTTTTCCAAGATCTTGGAGATGAACGGAAGTTTAGAGATGGGTCATGATGTAGCTGTTAGCTAGCTGGTGGCAGGTTTACTGGTATCACTGGTTTCAGATACATTACTTATTTAAAAGCAGGATGACCTTAAATTTTCCAAAAGTAAATTTAAATTTGAAAACTCTGATTCTGGGGTCTCCTGCTTCTTGCCCAGTTGTAAAATGATATTTAATTTGTTGCATCTGAAAAACATCTTCACAATTAGCTTTAGAAACACAGAATTAGTGATTTTATCATCAGGAGCGTGTCCCGCATGTCCCATATGTCCCACATGTCCCACTAAACACACACTTTTCTCTAGTTTAACTTCACTTTGATCTCAGCTCTATTTCTACACATTTACAAAACTACCCCCCACCCCACCCAAAGGGCCAATAAACATATGTTATAAAATGGCTCATTAATCTGCAACAACTGACATCTGTGATAATTAATCTGAGATTATCTGATCTGGAGTAAATGACGTGTTTCATCTGCTGCTCATCTACTTTTTACTGTCTTCTTAACTGTGACATACCAGCCTGCCACACCAAAATTCTCCTGATTCCCAGACTTACGGCACACTTCCATTCACACCCGTCAATTTTTAATTCTAGAGATTTAAGTGGCAGCAGATGAGCAGTCGTATGCTGCTGAACACGGGAGGCCAAATGGAGCAACTGTTCCTACGGGTGAAGGCAGACAAAGGAATCTGTGAGATGAGCTCGGTAGAACTGAAATGCTTGGAAACGGAAACAGTCTGAGAAATACCGAGAGCAGGAAGACTGAGATAAGTGAGATGGAAGGAGGATGGGGGGGGGGGGGGGGGGGGGGGTGCTGCTGATGTGAAGTGAAACAGAACAGAGGTGGTGGTCATTTCTTTGTGTTTGTGTGTAAAGCTGAGCAGAAAGGAGCATGTGTTCCTCAGCCAAAGTTGAGCTGTCACAGACGTCTGTGTGTGTTTGTGCGTGTGTGTGAGTAGAAACATGCATGCATGTGTGTGTGGGTGCCTGTGTGTGTGTGCGTGCGTGCATGTGTGTGTGTGTGCGTGAGTGTGTGTGTGTGTGTGCGTGCATGTGCACATGTGTTTGTGCGCGCACATCTGTGTGCATGCGTGTGCGTGTGTGTGTGCGTGAGTGTGAGTGTGTGTGTGCGTGCGTGTGCACGTGTGTTTGTGCACGCACATCTGTGTGCATGCGTGTGTGTGTGTGTATGTGTGTGTGTGTGTGCATGCGTGTGTGTGTGTGTGTGTGTGTGTGTGTGTGTGTATGTGTGTGTGTGTGTGTGTGTGTGTGTGTGTGTGCGTGAGTGATGGATTGAAGCAGACAGGTATGACAGATGTTCCACAGCCTGCTGGCTGCAGGCCGTGTTGGCTGTATGTGCCGCTGTGTGTTTGTCTCCACACCTTCTGTGTTCACCTTTCTGTTCACGTTAACATCCACGGTCCTTCTCAGACCTCCCCATCAAACCCATTATCTGTCTGTTTTCTAGCATTTCTCCCTCCACTCATCTCACTGAGTGTTTAGTCTGAGCTTTTCTTGTGTTTATTTTTCTAATGCAGGAGAATAATTAGTCTTTCAGAAACTGGTCAAATGTGACTCATTTCTTTAATGATCTCTTTCTTTTTTTTTATCTGTCTCAGCATTTGGATCAAATTTACAATTAATAAATGTGGTTTTGTTTTTGTCTAACCTAACAAGTGAACAGGTGGTCAAACGTAGCCCAGTAACAATTATTTAATCCAGTAGGATTGTCATAACCAACAACATGCATTCATAAGTCTGGACTGCAATCCAGTGGACTACAGCGTGTGGGAAAGTCTGAGACATGGCTTGTGTGAGGGTTTAAAGACATATGTAGAACATTGTTACACTCATGTAAAAAATCTAACCGTAATTAATGATTTCAAAGGGTCTGTAAAGTAGCTACACGTTACATAATAAAATGCAGCCATTTTCAAAAGAATTCTCCCTCAATATAAAATGAGCAAATTTGCTCCAATTTGAATGCAATGCCATGCACTTCCATTCAATCTGGTTCATTTA